AAGGTGTAGAGCTGGATGAACACAGCAGGCCAAGCAGCATCACAGGAACAGGAAGGCTGACGTTTCGGGCCTAGATCCTTCAGTCCAAAACATCAGCCTTCCTGCTCCTGTGATGCTGCTTGGCCTGCTGTGTTCATCCAGCTCTACACCTTGTTATCTCAGTAGCTACAGACTATTGTGTTCGTGGATATCCCACAGCCCATTTGAAGGATACTGATAAACACAGGCTTAACAATATATAACTTATAGACTGAATCTGCCAGTGACAAGGAATTTTAATAAAAATGGTAGGAATTAAAAGTCTATTCATCTGATGCACAATGTTGATTTTGAAGTCAGCTCCCAACCAAAGCTCATTTTCTAAAGATTACCGAATGGAGGTCAAATGAACAGAAATTGAAAAGCACACAACATTCAATCTACTTCAATTCACACTAACTCTTCTCCTTGTAGTGATCGCAGAGACTATCATTATTTTAAATTGGAAATAGAACACAGTGTAGGCCTAATTGTTAAGGAAAGTGTTGCAGGAGAGGCTTGTCAATTTAACTGGGTCCCTACAAGGTCTCCTATCCTGTCTGAAGTGTGTGGTTTAATAAAAAAAAGTGAAAACAGCATTTTGTCTGAATTGACTTTAAAGTTTTAATAGATCTATCAAAATAATCTCCATTAGAATACCAAACTGAATAATTTGTGTGACTGCATTGACCAGTCATGCACTAATATTTCAGTGTCATTTCCAAGTGCAGAGCTGATCTGTGGAGTTGAACACAGTGGGTGAAATGTTCGTACTTTAATAGGAAAGTAAAAGCAGATGATATCGAATCAGACACAGTTAACCATCTTACCTGATGTCCAGACAGAATGTTTAACAGATTACCGATCCAATACACTCAAGTTACATCTCTGTTAAACTCCCTACCCTGCACTACCCACATTGTCAAGAGTAAAAATAGGCTTCAACTGAGCTGATACCAAAAATAGGGAATAATTGACACAGGGCATGCATTTGAATAATCAATGCTGACATCTGTATTTTGTTGGAAGCACCTTTAGTAAGGTCATCATACTGGAACTGTACTCTCTCCCTCTGTGGTATGCTGCAACTGAGAAGCAGGGGTGATGGGTGGAACTACAGCATGACAAATTTACATTGGCAGTTCCATTAAAAATAGAATGGGAAAATTATACGGCAGGGAAGTACAGCCAAAAGACTTTTTTTAAAACATGCATTCGTAATATACATCCTATTCCTTTACATGGAAGCCCACTTTGTTCAAAAATGTTTACTGAATAAACCTTGTGGTAGTCCATCAGAATGAAGTGATACAAGAACCTGTGCGCGGAGTCCTTTAACATGGGGAAGTTGAGCCAGAAACTCTCTTGCCATTATCACATGCCACTGCCACATTGGAGAGATTTGTAGATTAATATTCAACCAGTTTGGCTGCTAATGACGCACCTTCTTGTAGTTATGAAACTAAAGCTTTTGACTCAGAGGTAAGGGTGTCAACATTGCACCACAAGACCTCTCTTTAAGTTAAACAACGTGCTTTATTCTGTAATCTTCTTTTGTCTGCATGCAAAATCTGACAGAATGGAAGGACAGCAATGTCAGGTCACTTGTGATTGATATTTGCTCTTCTAATGATAAAAGTGAATAGAAAACTTTGACAACTAAGGAATCACATCATGAGACATTGATTTAAACAGAGAAAATTAGAACTTTGGATTTAACAAGCAGACTTTAAGTTTTGGCTTCAAGTTAATAACTTTTTGTCTGAAATAGAAGCTTGTGGATATAAACCCTAGTCAGATTATAGCTTGCAACCTACGCTAGATTTAAGTGTGCTAGCAATGGAGTGCAGTAAAACTAGAAGTGATGCTCTTGGATGAAAATGTTCATCTGAGGGTCAGCGTCCTTGCTCACATCGACATAAAAGATCATTTGGTGGAAGGCTGTAGAGATGTCTTGGCTATATTTTTTGCCATAGCAAATTTCACAAAATCAAACTATTTTGTTAATTCTTTGGTTGTTTGTAGAAACCTGTGGCCATTTCACCTGCTACATTTATTGACATAATACCAGTGGTTGCAGTTCAATATTAATCCTTTGCTTGTCAAGCACTTTGAGATAGTCTGAGAATGTGTTCGACTACATATGATCGCAACTTCTTTCTAATGGTGGTCTTTAACACTACACTTGAAAGTTATTTTGCCTGGTCCAAAATAGGATGAGTGGGAATTCTATGCTCAGTTCTACAAGGTAAAATAGCATCTAGTAGCACTTCTCTTTGAAAGTCATTTAAGCTCTTGATTAAAGTATTCCTTCACCTACCACTTAATAATTTGCCAGAATTCTAGCAGCACCCACGACAGGTAGGTGGAAGCCTAATTTAAAAGTCTGGTCATTGACACTACCAAGCTATAACATCCCAGGAAGGAAGCCACAGTGAAAAGCAAGACAAAAATGTGACAAGAACTACCTCAGTCAAATGACATCTTGTAACACTTGGAAGTATTCTGTGGATTAGATTGTACTCTGGGATTCATGTGGAATCTGAGAGACTTTCCTGCCACAATCCTGTGTCTCAAACTGGAATCCACTCTGCAAACACCACACACATGCATCCCCAAAACATTCACCTTGAGCTAGGGCCTTAGATCCATGATTGTATCCAACACCAATCCCCATTCCTGTCCATCATCTCGGATGTTAACCCCATCAGCTTTGGATGACAGACCTGCTGAATTTCTCCAGAAATTTCTGTTTCAAATTTCTGCAGTTCTTTGTTTTATTTTATCAAAACCAGCTTACCTGAAGTGGGTGATCTGGTTTTCAAGGAGACATAGAAGCCTTTCCTTAATTTCATTAAATCTTTCTTTCTCTTCAACTGTTACAGTTCCAATTCCATCTGGTCTGAAAGAGAGAAGGAAAGATACCCTTTCAAACTTTGAAAGTCAAAACAGAAGTTCACTGACTCATCAATATGAAATGTCACCAAAGATATATATAAATTTACACAATCAAGATTCCTTTTGTTTTAATTCGTTTACAGGATGAGGGCATCACTGGCTAGGCCAACATTTATTGCCCATCCCAATTAAGAGTCAACTACATTGCTATGGGTCCGGAGCCACATGTAGACCAGGCCAGGTAAGGATGGCAGATTTCTTTCCCTAGAGGACATTAGTGAACCAGATGCATTTCCTGATGAATGACAATGGTTTCATAGCCATCAGTAGACTCTTAATTCCAGATTTTTATTGAATTCAAATTCCATAACGTGCTGTAGTGGGTTTTGAACCCAGGTTTTTTGACTCTGAAGGAGCTTTGCTCACTAAAGGAGCCTGCAGTACTGTCAGAAAGTTGGGAAGATACTTCAAACAATTTTCCAACAGTTTTAATCACAAAGTCATGGGCCTGCCAGTTCAGATTTGCAATTTGTGCACTCAATAAGCAAGGTTCCAGATCAGGAAAATGAAATGAAAACTGAAAGAACTGCTGACTCTGTAAATCAGGAACAAAAACATAAGTTGCTGGAAAAGCTCTGGTAGCATCTGTGAAGAAAAAAAAAATCAGAGTTAAAGTTCTAAGGAAGTGTCACCGGACCCGAAATGTTAACTATGATTTTTAATTTACAGATGCTGCCAGACCTGTTGAGCTTCTCCAGCAACTTCTTTTTTTGTTCCAGATCAGGAAAGCAAGGATAAAATGTTTCCTCAATATTCTGCTGCCTATTTAGGTTGAAGGTTGCAAAGGAGAAGACTTACAATATAGGTGAAGAGGACAGAGAGACGGACACTGGAGTGAGTGGGGTGGAAAAAGAGAAGAGAGGCTTTCTGAACTGGGGAGGCTAGCAGGGTGTGGGGAGTGGAGTAAGTTCTTCTCAGGCAGTACAACAGCTACAATAAAATCTATATACTTTTTATTTTCATTCCCAGGATATGTGTGTTGCTGGTTAGGATTCGTTATTATCTCGTGGGATGTGAACATCTCTGGAAAAGCCAGCATCTAATCGCCCTTGAGAAGATAGCGCTTGAACTACTGCATTCCATCTGGTGTAGGTACACCCCCATTGCTACTGGGAAAGAAATTCATCAACAGAGAAGGAACAATGATTATAGTAGTCCTGGTTTTTCAGAACAGGACAGTTTTCCACATTGATGCGAACATTACTGTGGTAGTGGAACACTATTTGGCTTGTGGCATGGTAAAATCTGGAGCACAAATCTTCAGCACTACTGCTGGAATGATGTGAGTGCCCATGGCCTTTGTACCATCTAGTACCTCCAAATATTTCTTGATACAGTGTGGATTGAATCAAATTGACTGGATACTGGCATCTGTGATACTAGAGACCTCTGAAGGAGGCCGAGATGGATTATCAACTCAGCACTTCACGGTGAATGTGGTTGCAAATGCTTCAATCTTATCTTTTGCACTTATGCACTGGGCTCTCCCATTATTATGTATAGGGGTATTTGTGGATACTCTCCTGCACTTAGTCCCTTTACAATTGGATGAGACAAGAGTGTAGAACTGTTGGTAGTGTGACTATTTACCACTATCACCTCATGTTTAAGTATATACGATGCTGCTCCTAATGTGCAATCCTGCACTCTGCATTGAACCAGGTTAAGTCACCTGGCTTGATAGTGATGGTAGACTGAGGGATATAATGGACCATGAGGTAATACTTTAGGATTAATACAATTCTGCCACTGTTGATACCTCACTGCAGTTCATGGATGTCCTATTTTAATTGGCAAGATCTGACCTGAATCTATCTCATTCAGCATGGTAGAGTTACACACAACACGATGGAGGGAATACTCAGTGTGAAGATGGGTATTTGTCTTCACAAGGATTGCATGATGGTCACTACTACTAATAATATCATGGACAGATACATCTGTGGCAGGCAGATTGATAAGGACATGTATAAATATCACTGAACAAATTAATTAGAAAAATATCTACATTCAGTCCCATCATCTAAATCATTAATCTTGGTCTGTAAATAGTTGAGGCTCAGCAACGACCCACTTATTCCCTCACTCTGCTTCCTGTTTGCTAACCAATTCTCCATTCATGTTAATTATATTACCCCCTACACCATGAGCTCTTCTTGTGTTCTTACCTTTGATGTGGCACCTTGTCAAAAGTTTCCTGCAAATTTAGGTACACCATATCCATGTTAAAGTAGCAACAAAAAATGATAATAAATCTATCAAACACAATTTCTCTTTCACAAAATGATGTTGACTCTCCTTGATTGCATTGAAATTTTCTTAATGCCCTGCCATAACCTCGTTAATAGTCAATTCCAGCATTCTCCCTACTTTTTCGAATGGAGAAGTTACCTTGGTAATTTCCAATCTGATTACAAAGTCACAGAATTTTGGAAAACTAAAAGCAATGCACCTATAATCTCAGCATCCACTATTAAGACCCTAGGATGCAGGTCTAATGCTGTAAAATGGGATTAGTATAGATTTAATGTGATTTGGGCAATATAGACTTGATGGTCTGAACAGTCTCTTCTGTATTGTATGATTCTATGATAGGACGAAGTTCACTAGAACCTGTGGGGACTTGTCAGTTTTCAGTTCCTAAATGCAGTAGTGTTGATATTGTGCCAGTTTTGCTGATGAACATTGAAGTCCCCCATCCAATGTATATTCTGTGTTCTTGTTGATTCTTGCTTCTTCCTAGTGGTGTTCAAGTACTGATTCATCATCTGATGGGTGGTTAATAGATGGAAAAACAGGAAGTTGTTCCATGCCCACACTGGAACATATAACAGAAGCCTTCATAGACTTTGGAGTCAAAATTGAGGACTTCCAGATGAACTCCCTCCTAAACTCTATACCACTGTTCCACCATCAGTGGGATGGATCATAACAATGGATGGTGATTGTATTGTCTGCAACACTGGATTGGAGGGTATGACTTTGTCAGGCTGTTTCTTGACCGGGAAGATAGCTCTCCAAATTTTGACAGAAGCTTCCAGATGTTAGTAAGGAGGGCACTGCATAGATGATAGAGCCAGCTGCCTTACTGTTGTGTGATGCCAGGACGTCCATTCAGTTTTATTGCTTTGGGTTTTTTCTGAAGGGGATTGGCTTGATAGTCCATTTCATAGGGCAGCCAACCACATTCCTTTGGATTTACAGGGAGTTACATGTAGGCCAGACTCAGTAATAAATGCAGATTTCCTTTCCTAAAAGTCAATTAGTGAATCAGATGGGTGTTTACAATGATCGATTATAGTTTCAGGGCACCATTACCGAGAACAGCTTTCAATTCCAGCTGCTTAAAATTAATTTAATGTATTGCCCTGGAGAGAACTGAACTTATATCTCTAGGCCTCTAGGCAAGAGACATTATCACTGTACCACCACTGCCCACTCATAGCTGTCCTGACATAATTGGATACAACAGAATGGCTTGTCAGGGTATGTCAGAGGGAGATCAGAGTCAACTAGATTCACAGAAATGCTAGATTGGCAGTTTTTCTTTCCCAAAAAGACATCATGGAATCCCGACAGCGTAGAAGCAGGCCATTTAGCCCATCGAGTCCACACTGACCCTCTGAAGGGCATCCCACCCAGAGCCACTCTCTCGCCCATCCCTGCATTTCCCACCCTAGGCACAAGGGGCAATTTAGCATGGTCAATCCACCTAATCTACATATCTTTGGACTGTGGGAGGAAACCGGAGCACCCGGAGTAAACCCACGCAGACATGGGGAGAACATGCAAACTCCACACAGACAGTCGCCCGAGGCTGGAATTGAACCCAGGTCCATGGTGCTGTGAGGCAGCGGTGCTAACCACTGAGCCACCATGTTACCACTTATTGTTCACTTATACTGTAACATTTCTCTGTTTCCAGATTTGACTTTAAATTGAATTCAAATCTTTCAACTGCCATAGTGGGGTTTGAACTTGTGTGCTATGCTTATTAATAGAGTACTATAACCACCATGTTCCATTCACCATTTTATATCCAGATCAATATTGCATACATTTCCATAGTCACTTTTTTCCCCTATGGATACAGGGAAAGATTATATAATTTGCTGTAATCTATTGTTATGTAATAAATAATAAAAATAATGTAATATGTAATAAATAAAACATTGGATACATCTACAACTTAAGATCTGACAATCCTATTTGGTTTCTTCCAGGTTAATGTGAAGGAAATCTGTCACATTAGTCAATTAGCAACATATAGGTGCAGCAAGGAAGGTACTCGTGTCTACTGTTTCTCCCTGTTTTGTGATAAACAGGCAATGTGCTGAAATACTTTTGGCCAGTGGCAAGTCGCTGTACCAGGGGTACAATGCCAAGCTCCACTGAAATAAATTGCTTTGTGAGATATTAAATGGGATGCTTTTAAGTACAATTAAATGCTGGGCTCCCTCTGTGCAGCAACGTCTCCTGTTAGTCCTCTATCCTCTAGCCTCTAGAAATTCCAGCCCCCAACCTCCCGTTCTACACCATCTTGTCTGCAGGTCAAGTAGAAAATTCCACTCTTAACTATGTCTTTAATTGACATTTAAAATAAGCAACGTGAAGCTTTTGCCCTACGCTGACCTCCAGCAAAATGGTTCAAGGATGGAATGGTGCTGGCAACCTGGCAAGCCAGCCAGGGGTATAACTTCTCGCATTTGCCAGACTCACACCCCCCCACTCCCACTACCTTATCACAGCAAAAATCCTGCCCAGCTGTCAAGTAGTTGTAAGTTGAGAGAGCATATACAGTGACTGGCATCTGCCCAGCAACTGGCATCTGTCCAAACTGTATTGAATCATAGGCAGTAAATGCCCACATCATTGAGCTATGTTGAATTTATCACAAGAAACAACTGTACGATTAAGTCAATGAAGCATACACAGGCACATCAG